AAAAAAAGATGATTTTGAGACAGGCAAGACAGCTAGTTTGTTTCGACATAGAATGACCCATGCCTTTTTCCTAAACATCTAACTTATAAATGCTTCATGACTGTCATGCACTGTCATGTTATGTTTTGTTGTCATTTGTGTATATGTGTAAAACGTTCAAGTTGATGTAATGGACAGTCGGTTCTTGTCTCCAGAATGCACGAATTTGAAAGTAATTGATAAATCCAACTTGGTTTGTTAGGTCTCAAGAAACTATCCCAGAGACACTACACTGAAGATCACGAGAGGGGGGAAACATCTAAGAGCATAATCTCCTTACAGGATTCAGGATCTCACTGTTCAGATTTGGATAGCTCTGATTTTTCACTGGACAGAAAGAAGAAGAGGAATCTGATTCTGAGTCTGACTCAGAATCGGATAGCTCTGATTCCTTTGTGGAGAAGAAGAAGGGGAAGTTGAGGAAGAAGAAGGGGAAGAAGGCTAAGGAGAAAAAAGCAAAAAAGAAGGAACACATCACTACCGTCAGCGGGGTATGTGAAGTATATTTGTTTTGTTTTTAAATCGAGTCATGTTAGAAAAAAAAAGTTTGATTTTTTTTAAAGGTATATCCTAGGATGTGGTGTAAAAGAGAGAGAGAGGTAACACTGTCAGAGATTGCCAACATTGAGATTCAACACTGACAGAACATAATGGTTGTAGGTGGGCTATATGTTTGACAGAACCTCTAAATCTAAAACAAGTCATAGCCAGCCAGACGTTGACTTGCGTCTGTCTTCCTTCAGTATGTGTTTTTAAAATTTTAAAAGTTGTCTACAAATGAACTCCACATACTGTTAGCTGGTTTAATCACCATTTATTTTTGTACCAGCACCTACTGTCACTTGCCACCTACAGTAACCCAGTAATCTTAAGCATTACAAATTAGGAGACCTCTTATAAAGTATATAAACATTTGGATTAAATAATACTTAAAGTGAATGAGTTTGTGTCAGGACAATGATGTGGGGACAGTTTGAAACTGGACCTCAGTACCAAAGCCTAGTGTTGTCACTTCCCAGGGTCTTCATTTAAGCTGATATGTGTCTACCATACATTATTCCAATGAATTTATTCTCATTCCGTTTTTTTTTTTGTTTGGTTTTTTGTTTCTTTGTTTTTATTTAGCGAACCATCAGAAGTGGTGCCTCGATATAAGACAGTGCTGGGCATCTTCCAAAAGGGCAAGACAATGGCCGAGGCATTCAACAAGTTTGGAGCAGATCGCAACACAATTTCACAAACTTCTGAAATTGCAGAGTTGGCAATTGCTGCTCCAGAAAAATATGCACAGCTTGTTCAACAGGTGAAGGGGAGCAAGCTTTCTGACATTGCAAAACAATGCAAGGAAGCTGTCGAGGCCGACAAAGCAACCTCAGAGTCCATAAGGCAGATGAAGAAGAATAAACAGCTTCTGCCCATAAGAAAGCATTAAAGCCCTCACTGCCATGTTCAGGCATTAGTTTTTGGTGGTGTTTTTAATGGTTTTATAGGCTACATGAAGATTTTGCTCAAAATAAGATGCAAGGGACATGAGGAAGAGTTCTTTTTTTGGTGAAACTGTAAAATCCCTGTTTTGTTATTCCTTTGAAAGAATGTTAAGTGTTACATTTTTTAAATAAAATAACGGCACTTTTTCAGATTTTGCATGAAGTCTTCATCTTTTTAAATTTGGAATGAATCATGTTGATAACAGATGCTTATGATGAGTTAAATTCCATTTGGAAATGTTTCACTAATGTTCAGTATCTGCGTGATTGCTTCAAATATTCAAGGGTCACAAACAGCAGTAGTACCTAATTAGTTATGGTTAAAAAATTATTTTTTAGCACTTGTATGCATTTATGAAGTGTTCCTTAATAAATACATGTTTTAGACTTTACAGGGTCACAGAGAGCATTAACAAATAGTTAATAAAGGTGAAGTAATGGTTATTCACCACTGTGATACATTTATGAAGTGTTAGTTCATGCATATATGGTTCCCACTTTACAATAAGCGTCAGAGCATTAATAAATGCGTAATTACGAGTAAGTAATGCTTACAGTATACAGCAGGGGTGGGCAAGTCAGGTCTTCGAGAGCTACCACCGTGCATGCTTTCCAACTATCCATGCCCTGTCCACTGCTGCATACCTGCATCATGTGTGTTCAGTCAATCAGAAGCTGGAAGATACCACATTAGATGAACGTGGAGCGAGGACAAAGTGAATTCGTTGGTTGGAGGTTGGACAAGTAAGTGGACAATTATTATGCTTAAATGAACATTAAAACAGCCTTCTCCTAATGAAACTGCTAAGCTGTGAACTTCGTGAAATAAATGTTAATATCTTTATTGACAATTTACTAGTATTACCAAGAGACATTTAAGTTGTTGAATGCAATGCTTATTATTGTATTATTTAACGTTTAGTTAATGCTTATTACTGCATCAACAAATGTTAGCAGTGTCGTTAAAAACTATTAAATAATGTATGAGGTAATACTTTAATTAACATGAAAAACAATTAGTACATGATTAATAAATGCATTAGTTACCTATTAGTTAATGCTTATTACTGCATTATGTACGGTTAATTAATGTACCCTTATTGTAAAGTGGTACCCAATTATTTTAAGGTAATAATGCATCTAATAGGTAAAAATAGTAATAATAAAAGACACTTTTCTACATGTCTGTTGCCTGAGGCTACATTGTATATTACAGAGTGCCATCAGCTGTCCTTTGAAATTGGTTTAATACATTTTTTTGTAAACAGGTACCTGCCTCATGTTTTACACCTTCCATTATTACAGTACCTTTTGAAAGAAACTTAGGTACAAACCAAAGTGTGAAAAGATAATATGTAAATATTATGAAAATAATAAGAAAATAGTCATATCACTGATTTAAATTTTAAGGCACTGTTTCAGGCATCCACTGGAGTGAGCACCTAAAGTAGTTAGACAGAGGTTTGTCACTTGTTTGCAGGTTTGGGCTTTGTGGTCTACTCTGTTTACTCTCACTGAGGCTGCCGAGTGTTGGACACACTGTCACACACACCATCTGTTACTGCTAACACTCCTGGCTTGGAAAAACATGGTTATGAGTAGGTAATGGTGCAGACAAAACTTGTGACCTTGACACTGTCTCCTACGTGTGATCAACAGAGAGAGAGAGAGGGAGATTGATGACAGTCAGCAGCCCTTTTGAGGTTGGTTTGTATGAGAAAGGCACCAGAATCTCACGTTGCCTAGAAACATGATTGTCTCAGTGTGTGATGGAGTCTTTCTCTGCCTGTCTTATCCTATTCAACTTAAAGATAAACATCAAATTGCCTCACTCAGTAAACATGTATTGTCTTTTTTAGCCTAATGCTAGGCATCAAATGCCATTATGAAATGATTTTGATACATGCCACTTTCTTCAGGATTTCTCAACTTTAATTGCTATTCCACTTTCCCAGCCATTTATATGAAGGTGAGAGAACAACTTGTATTTCATTTATTTATTATAACATTTTGCTTAATAGTTGGGGCTTCTGAATGAATTACTTAGGGAGCCATTTACTGTAGAGTGTCTTCTCAGCAGATTAACAAAATCAGTGATACACACTTAGACATAAAATGTTGACAAAGACTGGTGATGTCAACTCAACACAGAAACACAAAAATTGCACCGTTGTGCAGTTTTTCAGAGTGTGTAGTTAGTTGTTCAATACACTTTATTAAATCACAAGCCTTGTACAATAAGATCCAAGATGTTTGTATCAAGCTTTCCTTGATAGATACACAACCTAATCCCACACATTAATGTGTTGTTCAAAAATCTCATGTTTGTGTTAATCAGATATTTTGCTCTGTGTTGATATAAAGCTCATCATGGATACCAGTATCTCAGTACTTTCAACTGTTTTAGCATAGCTTATGTTTCGCATGGTTCAGATCGGACTTTATGTCTATGACTTACTTATTCAGTTTCAAGCCTTAACAGATTAACCCTTGACTGCCTAACAGTGACCATTCCATTGATTTTACCAGTAAATGTTAATGATGAATAGGGTAATTATTGTGTATCAAGTGATTTAATACAATTTGCACTAACCGTGTTCTTGAAGTTTCCTTCTCTCATTATTAAAGTTCACCTTGAAGGATTTTGTGAGGTTATTAATGTCTTGAAAAGCCTATTTATTATCTCCGACTTGCACTTCTGAATGACAGGATGTGCAATGATTTAAGGTCACCCTCAGCATAAAATGTGAAAAACAGTCAATCATTGACAAGTATTACTAATGCATTACTAATGCATTTATTTTAAGACTAAGTGTTCTTTCATAGTGGTTTTTCAGGAATGGAAATGCATTTTTGTCCCACAGTATGCAAAAATATTCCTGCACTTCACAGGCTTGCTCTACTGAGGCATAACCAAAAAGCTGTTGAGAGGACAAAGGACTTCACAACACCTTGAACTGAGCAGCTGCTGTAATAAGAACAATGTGGCAGAAGAGTTCAATTGAAAACATCATTCCCTGATGGATGAGATCTATCCAGTTTAAATGACTGTGTTCACTTTACACCCTCTTTACACAGACAAGATTTAGCCATCGTCCACAATTATTATTCGATCCAGTGCTGTGAACACAGTACCAAAAATGGTTTAATTTCACCCTCAGGATCAATAGCACTTGATACAGCCCATCTCATTCTCATCTCATGACGAGGTACTGCATTAACAATCCTATTGACAATATTGAGCAGTATTGACGACAAGACAGAATAAGCACCTCAGGCACCGGGCAGGAATAAAGTGTCATTTCTTTGCAGCTGTACACCTTTGTAATAGCTTTTTCAAGTATGAGCATAAAAACAAAATGCCAACTGGGCTTTTTTAAAAGTGATTTTATTTAACCCCTCGTGTTACTGGCAGGAATGTGTAGAGCTGTAGTTGCAGGTGTAGTGTTGCATGAGCTAACTGATCGTCCTGATGTACTCAGTGGAAAAGTACACCTGGTAGACTGTTCTTTATGTGTACATTACACAGGACAGTGTTCTGTGTTAAAAGAAACTCACAGAAACACTTCATTTTGTTTCTTTGTCTTCTTCATTCAAATGCAAAGAAAAAAATCTGGACCAAAATGGCCAGTGCAGCCTACTCATTTTAATACACAATGATCATGAAGCCTATACACTCAGTTTGTCACATCTGTATTCTCCGAGAAGAAGAGGAAAGGAACCACTAATGAGCATCACCAGAATCCAGCTATCCAGAATGTAAAGCGCCACTGAGTTTTACTGTTCACTTCTATTGTGTAGGCTATGTTATATTTGCCAGTTAGTTTCCTGTGGAGCGAAGAGGAGGGGCTGCACTGTGCTGCGCCGTGCAGCTACAGTACTCACCTCTGACTGAATCCCATCCCCATCTTTCATATCTCAACTTGTCCCGCTTGAGGATGGACGTATTTCCTTGCGGTCGGACCCGGTGAGGTGTCAGAAGAATGCGCTTGAAGGGGGGAATCTTCAGTAAATGGAGTGTCTTTGTGCGTCGGTGGTGTTTGCTTTTGGTGACTGCAGAAATTTCCAACGTGTCGGCGAGTCGACAGAGCACTGCCTTCTGATGCGCTCTTGAAAAGGAGGAATGGACATGTGAATGGGAATGATCTCCTTTAGCGGTTGAAATAAGTGATTTCATTGTTCTAGTTCACAAACTCGAAACGGTAAACTGCCACAAAGTCACACACGTGAAAACAGCATTGGTTGGCTAATTGAGAGTTTTTTCTCTTGAGGGGGGAATTCATGCGCCGATAGCTCACTGGGCCAATATGCCAGAATGGGTCCTCTACAGTATTTATTTCTCTGCGGACTTCTGTACACCCAAAGCCACGGTAAGTTAATGACTAGCCGACCTATACATGTATTACTAAATGTCAGGGTTGAAATCGTGTTTTGCCAAAATGCGCTTTAGAAAAGCACACTGGGCTGTGACCTGGTGCGTGTTCGACCTATGGTTATGCCAGATCAAGTGCAACAACAAGACACCGAGGATCGCATCCCACTATTCAGAGTGAATTTGGTGTTCCCCTTTGGATTCGTGTTTGAAATCACACATTCAGCCTTACCAATGTGCCATATCGTGTAATGATGTAAGATATTGTTCTTGGCCAACTATTTAATGACACAGGTAGACAAAAGTTTCTCATTTATTCACAAGGGATGCCTTAACTTCGCATTTTCATTATTTGAATAGGGTGTCTGACACATTTTAAATTACCAGCAGGCAGTTTCCACAGGCAAAGTTTGAAATGTATGCTGGCAAAAAACGAAAAAAAAAAGTCCAGTTAGCCATTCTTAACTTTGTTCTATTGTCTCAAAGGAAATAGGATTAATGAATTATTCTATCAGGGGGACTCCCTAAATGTCATATGCTGCCTGCAACCAGTAGTGTTGCAAGCCCTTTTTTCAAATTGTGCTGACAGTTTGCTTTAATTGTTTCTGTCTGCTGTCATATTCTACTGTATGTGTTGCTCAGGTTGCTCAAGTACATGTAAAAGATGGAGATTTCTGATGTGCCATAGAGAATATGCTTATAGCATAGAAATTCACGTCTGTTAGTGTCTAGAGATTACTCAAACAATACATAGACCTATTGTACATATGTACAAATGCAGCTGCAGCTAACAGACACATCTAAGATTCTTGACAGAAACCACTGTCATTTTGAATTTATTTGTACTACTTTGTCCCTTGTGTACACTTGCAACATAAATCTTTGGCAGTAAATGGTGTGATCAGCATAAAAGGGGTGTAGAATTGAGTGGTTTCAGGACATTGGTTGCTTGTGTGGGTGGTTTCATCATTTGGGTGGTTTCAGGACACTACAATTGCTGTGTAGCCATTTAATTACATGCAATCTACAGTCAAACAGTGCACTAGCTCTGCGGTTTCTTCTATTGTTGTGAAGCTTATAGTGCTCTGTTGACATAATGTCAGGGGGGTGTTGAGGCTTTTGTTTGTATTGGACTGCTGTTGACAGGTATTTCTAATATTATGTTTACCCCATTTTCCACACATGTGGTTTGATTCAGCACATCTCTGACACAGCACCGACAAAATGTGAATATTAATAAAAGCTTAGAATTTTAAATTGCCTGCTTGCAGGCCTGTTGCATTGGTTTGTATCAGATTATGCAAACATATGTAATAAACCAGATACTTAGTGCACATTTCAATGTAGTAGTTACATTTTGGTGAAACATCTGCAAGAAGGAGAAGTATTCCCAGTTGATGGTTTTTGGCTGACTATACCTAAGGCAAAAATGTATGGTAGCCTGTGCCCTATTAGAGTGGATTATGTTGAGACATGGCAGTTTGTGTACAATACAGTTTATGTTACACTGACAGTGAGCCCATCTTGACTACATGATTATGTTTTGGACTCATACTGATTTCGTATTTACAGGGGCCAGACTGGCTTTGTGTGAATAATATCTGAAAGACAGGTGCCCTTTATTTTATAATGAAATCACTATTTTGGCTATAAACTTACAAAATATTTATATGAACTCTACTGGTAGAGATGCCACATCAAAGTAACTTTTATTAAAGTACAAACAAGCCTGAGCATGTTCCTGATCAGCTTTTCTGTAAAACCTCGAGTTTCAGCTTCAGCACCATGGATAGATCCCCATAAATAAAGCAAAGACCTGGGCCTACACAAAGTGCGATGCTTAATAGCTTCAAGTGGTTCTAGACTAACGGACTAGTCCTATTTTAAGCAAAAATGGTCAGTTTTATGTGTATCTTTATCGAGAATCTGTATTTTAAGACTTCAACCAGATTATTATTGGATTCACAACTTGAGAAGTTGTCAGTACAAGGCTATTCAGCTGTTAAATGTTGGCATTTACAGTAAATCCAAATATTTATTTATCCATTAATTTGGTGACTGACTCATGTTCAGGGTCATGGGGTGCTGGAGCAGTCAGCCACTGAACAGAAGGCAGACAAACCCTGAGATGAGTTGCCAGTCAATCACAGGACTAACAGACTGACAAGACCCCACAGCACTCTTATGTTGTTAGATGACAGTACCATCCACTGAACCAATGTGATGCCCACATCTTAAATTATCAAATTTTAATTCTGTTTTCTGGCAGTACAAACCTCAAACTCTACATTAACCACAGTTGAGACTGAATAATGGGATAACTAATTATAAGAACTCAGCATTCCTCATATTGCATGTGTCATTTACCCAAGAGGCATAACGTATTGATAGAGTTTTGAAAAAAAATAATGTATCACCATGTTTTGGTGTGTTGACACCAGCTAATGAAATGCTTTTTGTCAACAAACCTCTTAACATTATAGACTGTCACATTAATTTTAGTCAAATTTATGGCTTTATTTCTGTTGCTGTGCAGCAGTCAGTCATCATGGTTGGCTTTGGAATAGTGCAACCTTTGGAATGGTTGCATTATTTATCACCATCAAAAGGCAAACGGAGTCCGCATCACTTAATTCTCATTTATTTATATATATGTGATGTATTTCTTGCCTTACTATATTCCAAAAAGTCTGCTTTAGTGACTCAAACAGCAGAAAGTTGTGATGCTGTTTTGTCTCAAAACTAAAGCAGTTCCTCTACATTTGGATCATATCTCTGTGACATTTAGAGATGAAATCTAAGAAGCAGCATTAAACTGAGCTACAGCAAGGCATTCACATAACAAGTTAAATGAAAAGAATGCACCGACTTGACAAACAGACAACATGCTTGATGATGTCAGTGTTTTATGGAACGTGTTAATCAAAAGCTAATGAGATGTAATGACTCCTCAGCTCCTGCCTGTGGAAGTAAATATGGGAGCCTGAGAGTAGTAGCAGACAGTATGGACCTGACTCTAATCAACTTTTCCTTTTAAGGAGTGTAATGAAATTACACTTTGACTGATTTTACTGATCACATTTACAAATCTGTGTACTTATATTCAGGTTTTCCTTATTTTTGGAGATATGTCTCGACATTTCTCTCTGCCATCTTATTTTACTAAACAGCGCTATGGTAGTCAGTAGTTCTGTATTATTTATTGCTTTTATTTTGGTGGTGCGTAGTGATAAGTGGGCATTGCTTTGCTGTTTTTGCACTGTCCCTAGCACTATATTGCTAGGGACAGTTTTTAATACTTCATTGCCTTTATGTAACTATTTATTTTAAGACTAAGTGTTCTTTCTGGCTTTTGACTCCTTACCTGACTCCAAAGGAGAGCTGCACATCAATTCCTATATGCCTAGACTGTCTGTTTATGCATACATGGCTAATAAAAATCTTGACTTGACTTAACTATGAGTTTCTCCTGACAAAGGTTGCTTAGCTTTTTCAGCCATAGTTGTTAATGCACCTCATATTAATAAAATAGTTAACTGTGTTTAACCAAACATTTTCATATTGCTGATGCAGCAATATGAAACTTGTGCTCTTTATGTATATGTAAATATTATTGCTACTAATAATTGACTTTTTTGCACTCTTTTTTTCCCTTTAGGGTCTCGTCTTCGGCAGGAAGACTTCCCTCCCCGCATTGTGGAGCACCCCTCTGACCTCATTGTGTCCAAAGGGGAGCCAGCCACTCTCAACTGTAAGGCAGAGGGTCGTCCAGCCCCCACGGTAGAATGGTATAAAGATGGGGAGCGTGTTGAGACGGACCGTGATAATCCCCGCTCCCACCGGATGCTGCTGCCTAGCGGGTCCCTCTTTTTCCTACGCATAGTCCATGGACGACGAAGCAAGCCGGATGATGGCAGCTACGTGTGTGTGGCCAGAAATTATCTTGGAGAGGCCGTAAGCCGGAACGCATCTCTAGAAGTAGCATGTAAGTTTGAGTTTTCAACATGTCCTTCTAGGCACAAAGGTAACGCCTTGGTCAATCGGCGGCTCACTGTTGCATGAGAGAAGAATGGGATAACTGTGAAGCAGTATGCTGTATTTTGAGGTTGGTAACATTTTGTGGGATACATGAAAATGTGTTGCATATGAAAAAGGTAGAGCTTATGTTAAATTAAGCATAACATTTTGGGGCTGTTGTGCTAAGAGATCCATATATAAGATGTCATCTGTCATAATATGAGTAACATCACCTATCCGCTGAACCTACAAGTGTTTGTGTGTCCATATGCTGAGCAGTGTGCATAGCATGTGTGCACCTATGTGTGTGAATATGTTTTTCAGACTGCTAGTGAGACCTGTTTGGATGGTCTGTTCTGAGTATTGGGCAGAGCTGTGAAGTGCCCCAAGGAAGGGGTGGGGGGTGAGCATGATTTTAACCTAGCTAACTCTCTTTCACTGTTTGGGTTTGGAAAGATGCAGCGTGCTCCCAGCCAGTTCTCTCCCTGTGTGGGAGAGAGGTGCTCTGGGCTATCCACATTTCCATTATGTGCTAAACTGAGCTGATTTCTTGCCATGAACAAGATGCACACACGCTGGGACACACACACAGACATACATGGATGTACACAAACACTCCTGCTCTTTTTCTCTCTCTCACTATGCAAGCAGAACACATAAGGAATTTCAGGTAAATAGTGTATAAATTTACAAAATAATCATTTCTATAATACATACATACCCATTGATGAAATCTTAAAAATAAAATAAGCAAGCGTAGAGAATGTTGGCCAAGACAACAAGATGACCATGATACACACAATCCCAAGTGGAAGTAACACTCCCCAGCAGAATATTAGTCTTAATGGTGTTGCTTTGTCATCTGCTCTGAATAGGTATTTGGCTTTTTTGAGAAATTATGGAACAAGAAGAATAAAAGCCTTGATAAAAGGCCTGAATCTAATAGTGACTCAGTCGCGACATTATCTGAGATCTTTGTCTTTTTGTGCACCACATCCTCTCTCTGTCTTATTGGCTTTTCCACATTAGACACTTGTATTTCTATTGTTGTGTTTTACTGGTGTTGGTTCCTCTCAGTTCTCAGTTCAAATCGATAGTGGAGAAACATCCTGGAAATACTAATGCTTAAGAAGATGTTGGGTATTTGAGAGGACGCAGAAGGCTGCCTTGGCAGTGTGTGAGTGTGTATGTTGTGTTACAGAATGTACAATAGTATTGGCTTTTATACATAAAATGAGATGTGCTGTTTGATATTCAGCTGATCACCATCATAGTGCTAAAGCTGCTACGCCAGTGTTCCTGACTCATTGTAATCAGAATTTACACTGCACTATACCTGACACTGACATTGCACATCTTGGCAATACAACTATGTTTTAAATAGATAATAATTCTTTCTCATAAAAAAACAGAAACCCACAACTACCATCACAGTGTCAAGAGACAAATGTTACAGCTGCTCCACTGATTCTCTTGACTGATAGATGCCAACTTTATGAACACAATGACCGTGCCAGAGTGATTTTGCTGGGATTTTGTGGTTCTCGTTAAAACACAATAAAGCTCATTTGTATTTTGTGGCTCAAACTGCCATTCTGAATTCATTTTCCGAGTTAATTGTCACATCCATTGTCAATGTAGCAGCTGTAATTACTATTAACAAATGGTTTTTTTCTTTTTTATTGCTGGAAGAGTGGTAGGCAACTTATGCATTAGTAACACATGGATTAAAATTACATATATTATCAGATATCGTTGAAAAGATTAAGCCCCAAACATATAGACATAAATTTAAATATTAGGAAATAAATATGAAATATGTATACATGTTCACTCCAAAGCAGTTCTATTGTTCCTTGAAATGCTGTCATGTGAGCTTCAAGTTATGTATTATAGCACATAGGACCATTCTTGTTTAGACACCTTCATTGATTTGTTTGTATTTTGCCATATGCATGATATATGTTGGATATTACTATACATACTGTATGAGGGATCAATTTTCTCCCAGGTCTGTGCACCTTGTGCTTCAGTGTGTCTGTGTATTACTTGGCTGCTATATGACCATGCAAACTATCAACAGGACATAGATTTTTTTTATTTTCGAGCACCTTTTCTTAGTTTGACAACTGTAAAATCCTGTGGGATTGTCTGTTGTCTGATTGTCAAATCTCTTTTAAAGCTGGATGGCAACATAGTGAATGTGTAGGCTTTGCAATTTATTTATTTAAATTTTTACTAAACCCATGTTTTTTTATGTTGACGCTACATTCAGAAGTCTTGCTCACAACCTTTCTCACAAAGAAAGCTTTTTCAGTGTTGACCTTGTTTGCTAGTCCAAATATTAACAAGCATTAATTTAAGCTACTTAGGTGAATGCTGACTTCTCTAACACAGAAACTGTCAATAGGTTGCTTTCCCTAACAGTATGACCCAGGCAGCCTCTGGCGTTCTTTGTGTAATTCTGAATAACATGGCTATGGGGATGCATATTCACATGATTCCTTCAGGGGCTGCAGGATCCTGCCAGTATCACTGCAGCCAAAGTTGTCATGCAATGCTGCGGGTTGGAGCAAGTGGGTAGATAAAAGTCTTTTGGGGATGTTCTGACAGTGAACCTGAACAAAATGGTTTCTTTGCTTAGGAGTCCACACACATACACACATTTTCTAATGGGTTGTAGCATTGTATCTCAACCAGCGGCTTAGAAAATGTAGCTAACTAGAGGGTTGCTGCACCCTTGAGTATTTGTGCTGTACAAGTTCAATTTTGGTGGTTTGTCATGCATTTTATGAGCTTCAGTCTGACTGACATTTGAAGGGGCATTATTTATTCCATGTGATGCAAAACACTTTAGCAGTTTAAGATGGTAGAAAAGCTTAAAATATGTAAATTATGTAAATATGCCAGACAAATCTACAACTGGCAGTCTGGCAAAAACAAATAATATACTTCTCAGCATTTTGTTTATCATATAAATGAACTCAGCCTTGCTAAAAAAAAACCAACATATTTCTACACAAATATATTTCTGTACAGATTATATAGTGAACTGCATGACAAAGAATCAATACACTATAACAGCAAAATCATATTATATGTATTGTTATGTATTTTATTATTTATTATATCAACACATTAGTTTTTTTAGGTTTTTGCTTTTTTGAGCTTCGTCCTTGCAGTAACTTATTCTTGTGCCTTGTCATTTCATGCTAGCATCATTTTGTTTCCATCTGCATGGTCATTCCATTTTTCTAAATCTTCTAACATGCTGTAGATGATGGATTTCTTGAAGAAGTACAGTAGCTTGTTTTAGCTGAAAATGACTGAACTAATCTAAGCATTCTTGACCATGCTTTCTCCAGAATGGAAATCAGAAAGGCAAAAAAAATGCAGATACTGGAAAGAAGCAAATTTGATTGTAGACCAGTAGGGGAACATGCTCTGTATCAGCTGATAGATCATCAGGGTACCATTCTGAATATTTTTTTAACCTTGTTGAAATTCTGTTTCGTGAATGGTGCATATTTAACATAGATGATAACATCAGACATTTCACTGAAAAATGAGGCCATGTCACTTCATTATTAGAAGGTCATTGTGTTTCTGGTACTGTTGCAGCATGTTTTTTATGTTTGTTTGTTTGTTTTTACATCCAAATGTGTAATTTTAATAATCAAACTCTCCTGGTGTCAATGTGTAGAATCAGCCAGCCACCTATCACATCTTCATTCTGTTTAGTCAGATGCTACAGCTCAGCGCTACTTTAGAGCAATGTCAACAAACAACTGTGCAACCTCCAGGCCACCAGTGGACTGGCACTAATCATTAGAGTGAGTGGTTGCTGATGGAGCTAGAACAGCTCCCTCAAATTATTGAGAAAGGACAGAAAAGAAATAAGCAGTCATGTGCTGAAGAGAGGTGTGGGTGGACGGGTGAAGGATGCAAGGGTGTTCATTAGTACAAAGCTCCGGAACAAGATGAGTCCCCCTCTGTTTGACTGGGCAGAGTGAATTAGATGTATAGTCCCTCAGTTATCAGTGAAATCCACCCATTCACAGGCAGCCAGCAAACTAAGCAGCCATAGTGTTAAATCTAGTGTCTGGATTGTATTAGTTTAGGTTGTGCTAATATCAAGGGATCATGGCTTTCATTTCATGAATGTTTTTTCTTTATTATTATTTTTTGTGTCCTTACAATCTTTTGCCAGCTTGCCAAGGTTTTCATTTTGAATGTTACTGTGCTACAGCAGTTATGTTCTGCTACCAGCAGCATTTATCACTTCAGTTAGCAAAGGTCAGCTCCAGATAGAAAATGATGCTACGTCAACATTTTGTGTATTTTGTATAAAAAGAACAAGAAGAGATTTTTGTGAACTGATTAGTCAAGAAAGCAGAAGCAAACTGGGAGTCTTGCCCCTTAGAACAGGGGCTTGTTTCACCAAATTTGTGATATGCAAGCTGTGACTGGCATCGTGTGGCTGTTTCCTTCTTGCTTGTTTTCACACATTTTGCTAAACAAAACAAACAGCATAATTCATTGTGACCCATGCATGAGCATGCAAGAGTGCTGTAGCATGTGCAAATTTATGTGTTATTGGCAAGACAGCCATTTGTAAAACATGACTTTGCCACCATTTGTGGTCTCTGGAATGGAGTGCTCATAAATTGCTTTTGTGGAAAGTGGCCCTGGGATCCAAGATGGAAGCTACTGGAATTCAACCCTAGACAGATGGAAGGGAAACACCCACATCAACAGCTGATCACTCATTCTTACAACTATTAGCATATTAGGCAGCAATCCATGCCTGTTGCATTTGTACCATGCTCATCTAGTTCCAACTGACTTAGGAAAACAGCCAAGATACTGTCTATTTATTTTGTGCATTGCAATAAAATCTAGTCAACATTGTTGATCTGAAGACCTGTGTGAAGAAGCAAAGCATAAATTTAGATATTAAAAAAAAAA